AGAGTTTGGTGTCATCGGCGAACTTGGCCAGTCCGCTTCTGACACCAATGTCCACATCATTGATGAAGATGTTAAACAGTATAGGTCCTAGGACAGAGCCTTGAGGGACCCTACTGGTCACAGTGCACCAAGACGATTGGCTCCCGTTGTTCACCACCCTCTGGGTCCTACCGCGGAGCCAGTTCCCCAGCCAGTGGATTGTGGTGACGTCAAGGGCTCCGTTTGCCAGTTTAACCAAGAGATGATCATGGGGTATTAGATCAAAGGCTTTTTTAAAGTCGAAGTATATGACATCAATCTCTTCCCCTTTGTCCAGGTGATAAGTCACCTGGTCATAAAAGGAAATGAGATTGGTCAAGCAAAACCTACCCACAACAAACCCATGCTGGGTATCCCTCAGGATATTGCCTTCAGCTAGTCTCTTAAGGATGGCCTCCTTGATAATCTTTTCCAAGACTTTCTCCAAGATAGAGGTCAGGCTGATGGGCCTGTAGTTTACCGGATCTACTTTCCTCCCTTTCTTGAAGATAGGCACAACATTGGCCCTCTTCCAATCATTGGGCACTTCACCAGAGCGCCAAGAACTCTCAAAGATCCGTGCCAGGGATTTTTTAATTTCTGCATAGCATATTGTTTGCTTTTTAGTGAAAGTGAAAAGATTTTTAGGCTCAAATTGGAAGTGCTCAGAGGCAAGTCCTGTACCCCTGCCATCCTGCCTCCTCTCTATTTTTCTCACCACTCCTGTTTGCTGGCACTCTTCCACATCTCTGCCAATTTGTTTTTCTGTTACACTCCTGTTTGTTATCTCTCCCCAATCTGTTGTGATATGGCCACACGCTATTGCATTGTTCCAGCAGGGATGAGATGCAAAGTGTGAACTGAAAAGAACAGCATACCAAAAGCTTCAGATATTTAGGCTGATAGAAGTAATTTCTTATCTATACTGAAAGCATGGTTGTGGGTTTTAAATTAAAATAATAAATTCCTGGGATAAGAGTATGCCTAGACTAGACTGTAGTCTTTGGAGAAGAATCTAAATCCTTATGATCAAATTTGACTAACTCTTATCTCCCTGGTACAACAGATATGATTTGCTGCAATTTCAGTTCAGTGAGAATTATATTTACTGGTAATATAGAGATCACAGAAGAAGGAAGCCAGCCATTGAACAGGTGTGAGAGGGACCACCTACCTCTTGCATTCCACAAAATTGGTTTCATGCTAGTTCATGTAAGCAAGCACAGAAAGGCTTCTTTGTGTTAACCAAGAAAGGGGTAGGTATGCGATTATACTTACCTGTAGCTCTGTCTGTGCCTCCTGTTGCAGTCTATGAATAGTGGGTTCTCAGGCATGAAGCAGCCACTGATGAAATATTCAAAATACAATATGTCTTCTGAATATTTATTTAACAGAAGTTAAACTAAGAGGAACTTTCATCCCTTCTGATTTTTCTGGTACAAGACATAAGCTCTCTCCAAAATCCAAGCTCATTCAAAATTAGGTCACCATTATAATCCTTAGAAAGTCCTTTGATATTTGTTTTAATATGCTGTTGAAGTATTTAGAATCCATAGATTTAGAATGTCACATGTTTTTACCGAAGAGGCAACATTTCTTACGGTGAGATCTTTTATTGGACCAACTGCCTAAGAAATCCTTGCCTCTGGGATAATTTCTGGACCATCATGGCTACAATAGCACTCTTACACTACCATAACATCTTATTATATAACTATTATATGCAACTCAATGTCACACTAATGTCTTGCTAATCCTATTAGAGTATTTTTAAATAATGTGACACTTTTGGAACATAAACCACAGGCATGGATTCAGGGAGGTACAGTGATGCAGTCATCCCCTTCCCCTGCCAAAAGCTCCAATCTCAGCTGGCAGATGCATATCCAATGAGCTTGCTGTCACCACTGCACCACCTTTGCATATTCTGGATCCGCTACAGATAGAACAGAGCAGCTTATGTCATATGCAATTTGAAACTTATTTTCCAATATAGTTGCGGTAAAGTTACCCGTTTAGCCACTACTCCATAGCTGGGGTTATGAAGTGCACAGGACTATGGTTAAAACTTTACATTGTACTGGTAAAAGACACGTTTTCTATAAAAGTAGTACCAGCTAAATACAAACTTGACTTTACATTTTTTTAAAGTCTTGGGGGTCATTTTAATTCTTGTTTCAACTCACTGATGATCTGCAGCAGGAGCTGGATTGGGCCACTAGTCTGATTAAAATAGGGCTATTTGTATAAGTAAAAACTTCAAATTCTGACTAATTCTGGGACAGGACCCATTTCTACATGAACAACTATATGCATCAGAAATTCAGTATCATACTTCTGCAAAGAAATTCATCTGCCCGTACCATAGGTTTGCAGTCCATCATAGTATAGACAGGCAAAAACACCATCTCACCTAGTCCCAGCTTCTAACATATGGCTCGTTAGCTGAAAAATGTTATTTGACCAAAATGCCATGTCATCCATTCCTCCAAGGAAATACTCATGGAACTTCTCCACCAAAAATGGAGATTTGCCAGCATATGTTGGGAAGAGCTAACAGACAAAAGAAACATTCAATGAGAAGGATCAGTGGGCACATCTACACATGCATTTACCGTGCATTAAATTTATTGTGCAGTAAGAGGGTTTAGGCCAGTTTCTATATGTTCAGGCATTAAAGCGCAATAATGTTGTATGTGAACTGACTTGGGACTAAAGTTAGTCCCACATACTGTTACTGTGCAGTAAAGCATCTACACATGTGTTACTGCACAGTAATTAACTGCATGATGCAGGTATCAAATTTATGTCCAGGTTGGCATAAGTCACCATATTTACTGCACAGTACATGTAGACACCACCCATACTGCACAGTAATTTTTAGTTACTGTATTAACAGTCAGCAGTAATTTTGGTTACTACGCAGTAACTGTGCATGTGTAGACAAGCCGACAGTGTCTCAACATTAATATTTTATTGTAGGCTGCAAGGTAATTACCTTAGCAACAGCAAGTTTTTCTCCATATCTGCAAAAAAAAAAAAAAAAGATTTTTCTCAGATAAAAGTGCTTCATGAAGAAATATGATTTAAATAACCCAAATCAAAACCCCTGTCATCCTTTGCACATAATACACTAGTATACACAGCAGACATTAAGGAAGCCAACATTGAGAGATTTCCTTGGTGACTGTTAATGCAGCATAAAAAGATATGTAATATCAGAAGTAGTGGTTTTACTTTATTATGCGTTTCCCCCGGTGGGCTGCAACTCCTCAGCACTATTAGTAATTAACTGGCTTAGAAAACAGTTATTGCCACCCTCAAGATTTTAAAAAGTAGATATTAACAGAGTTTAGTTAATTTTAATTCAAAGGTCCATTTTCTTCCTTATTGCTAGTTCATGTTAAGGCAGAGCCTTCGTTGTATGCATAAATGTAATTACCGTGATGCCCGGAGAATGATCCAAATTTGTATTACATCCTGAACCAAAACCAGGGGTTTGTATTGGTTTCAGCAGTTTACAATCACAATCATTATACTTTTCCTCCTTATATTAACAACTTCTTTGCCTCCATTTTCCTGAGCAGGGACTGG